ATAATAATAATAATAATAATAATAATAATAATAATAATAATAATAATAATAATAATAATAATAATAATAACTATAATGATTCTACTGGTAAATGTCAATTTATTTTTTATGAAAGATTATTTCAACATATTAAAAAGATTATTCAACTAAATCATTTTTTATTTATTTAACTTGGAAAAATAGAAGTATATATTACTCGGCAAATTGAAGATCAAATAGTGTTAGGTGATTATAATAATTTCTTTCTTTTCTTTCTTCTTGAGAGATAATGAAAACTTTAATTGACATTTTGATTGTTATCTTTATTTAAATAATAGAACCTGATGAACTCGTTACTAGTAAAGTAGAAGTTGTCAAAGCTCTAATATCAGCAGAAGGTATTTTTATCCATCAAAATATATTTTAATTGTCTATAATTCTCTATAATTTTAACCTATTATATTTTTATGATTTATAGTTGTGTTTCAACCTGAAGAAGAAGAAGGAGAAGTAGAATATATAACTAGACAATTTGAAGCAGAATTATCATTAGAAGGAATAGAAAAAATGGAATGATAAATCTATTTTTATTTACATATGTATTTGTATCTACTGTATTTTCCTTATATTGTTTAATCTTTTGATAATTAAAATTCCTTGATAAGGATATCTCTGAAATATAGAAATATGAATTTATTAAATTATTTTAACTTTTACAAATCATTTAATTTTCAATTAGTTAAAATTTTTGATAAATTGTAAATTGTAAATACAAAATTTTTATTTTATATTATATTAAAGAACAATAAAGTATAAATACAAAGATAAAATGTACTAAAAAAGATGTCTTTATTTAAAATATGCATAAATATCTGTTTTAAAACTTATTAACGAAGCGATAATGATTCAATAATGAATAATGATTTTTAATATAAAAATTTATCAAACTATGTAAAGAAAGAACTACAATAAAAATAAAAGAATTCAAGTATTTTTATATTCGTACGTAGTAAATACATTTTTAACCTAATAGTGGTGCACCTTCTTCACGTCTTCTATGAAGGAACATATTGACGATCGGCTTAAGGATATGGAATGAAGTGATTACACCGAATATAATTGCGGTCCAACGGATGAAAGGATCATCTTGTTCTACAGCAATACCATAAAGAGTCAAATCGATAACAATGGCACCAGTAATATCACCTTTACATTTTTCAATATAACCAACTGCAACAGATTCAAGAACTGCTAAACCAAAGAAAACAAGGATTTTGGTAAGGATGGAGGGAGATCCATCATCCACCTTTTCTTGACTAAATGCAACGAATAAACTGAGTATAGTAAGTACAAAGGCCCATCCATGGAAGAGAGAAAATGGTGCATGAATCCATAAAGTTTCTCCCCATGTTTGAGCAGGATATCTAAATTTAATTGTGCCGTAAACGTAAGATACTTGTCCAAGCAAGAAAAGGATAGGAATTATAGCAAGAATAGTATGGTTTGTTTCCTATTAAAAATTATGTATATATATATATATATAAAAATAAATAAATATAATAAATATTTATGAAACAATTATATAAAATAAATTTTAATAATAATTAATGAGAATACATTTTAATTATTTTCTTATTTTCTTCAAAAAAAAAAAAACTTACATATGCAAATAACCAAACGGAATTCCACACATTAATAGAAAGGAAGTGCCAATGGATACCATCATAAACGACTTCATTGGCAGCGGGGAAAAATTGGTAGATTACTAATATAAAAAAAGAAACAAAATTTATAAATAAATATTTAATATTTTTTAATATTCGATATTTCTCGAGGAAAAAGTATGAAATTAAAATTGATAATTTTTACCAAATCCAAGTAACAAGACATGAATGAGAGCCCAAACACCATAAACAAAACATGCTGGAGTAAAGTAATTTGGGTGAGTATTATGATAAGGAGAATTATCCTAAAGAAATGGTCAAACGCGTATCGTTAATATTAACAATTTATTAACGCGTTAATTTATAATTTTTTATTAAAAATTACAAATGTTTATTAGTTTATCAAAGCAAAAAAATATGTAAGATACATTACAGGTTCACCAAATAAACCAGCGTAACTATTATATCCTAGAAGAAAAATAAAAGCGAATACGTTGACAATTTTGACAACAATTGGTGGAGCCATGATGAAGAAGGTTTTTAAAAAAAATTAATGAATAAATGTATCTACAAAAAATAAATATGTACAATCAAAATCTTAATAATAATTGGGCAAACGAATTTATTTTTTATTTTTTTTTTGCACCCTGAAGGGAAGAAATAGTAAAACTTCTATTCCTTTTATATTGGGCTGAATGATGTAATCCCTTTTAATTTATATAATCTATTTCATTTTTTTACAATAAAAAACAAGAATGGTGCTGGTTGGTTATTGATAAAAGATAGATCGAATGTACAGTTACATCATCACATCAATAAATAATACTCAAAAAAATACCAAATATAGATAAATCTTTTGTCGTTGGTTTCACTAATAGGCCAAACGTAACGTTGTAGAGATTACTTAGCCCTCTTTGCGAGACATTTTTGTTAAAGGTCTTTTCCGAGACTTTTCTCTTCAATTTGGATATTTAAAAAATATAGTTCATAGTTTCTCTTACTTTTTTACATTTTTATATCATTTCATATCATTTTATATTATAATGATTTATTTATTGAGACTAAAATTTTATTTTAATTCAAATTCAAATTATACTTTCATGAAAAAAGATCATTGATTTTGATTATCCATGTGGGTCGATGAAATTTTACAAGAAAGGAATAATTAAACTTTGGGCGGGAAAAAAATTGATTTAATTAAAAAAACACAAATAATTTATTGCATTGTCATCCCATCTCATTCACACACGAATGGTTTATTACATTGTCATTCCATTCACACAAAATAACCTTATGTAAAGAAAAATAAATAAAATGAATAAAAATTGTAACACATATTATGTTTAAGAAACCTAAGAAATTCTGCGGTTGGGGAAATCTAGAATTAGGAAATACTATTAAGGAAAATAGAATGAATAAGGCGTGCGTGCGTACCAACAAATTAATAAAATCAAGTTTTAACAAGGTTAAAGGGTAACAAGGTAAATTGTTAATTAATAATTTTCTGCGAAATACAAAGTAGAATCGACAAAAGCGGTTAAATTACATCAAACATAAAAACAATTTTATCCCCCAAGAAATGATTGATTTTTATGCGTAAGGGGAAAAGAGATTCCGGAGATTATGCTACGCTATAATTGTACAAAAAGTATAATAAATTTGATGATTCGATAATGAATTAATTTAAACTTTTTATAACTGATTGTCATCTTATAAATCCTGCCTGTAACCTTTTTTTTTTTTTTTTTAAAAAAAAAAAAGATTCAGTTTTACTTTTTTGACGAACTAAAGTGATAATAATGTCTCGTCGTCATATTTTTCTCAAAGCGGCTAATGTAGCTGCATTTCTTACAGTAATGGTATTCAATTATTACAACCCCATGGGTAAAAGAAAAGAACATGAAGGAGACGACGATGATAATGGAATTCCCGTCAGTTACATTTCGCCCGCAAATTTTACCTTTATAATTTGGTTCCTCATTTATTCATTACTTCTAGGGTTCGTAATTTATCAATGGTCTGATAACGCTAAAGATGCAACCGTTGATGGTGTTCAATATTACTATATTATTGCCTGTATTCTAACTGTGACTTGGAGGGTTGTTTGGGTAAATTTTTTATTTATTTTATTTTATTTTATTTTTATTTTTTTATTTTTTATATTTTTTACAAAAAAAATTAAAATTTTTTTAATTTACTGAACAAAAATAAATATTTATTTTAGGAACAAAAATTTTATTTGTTGGACTCTTTTGTCTCTCTATTTTCGTTTATAGTAGTATTCAAAATCTACTACAATCTAAAATCATTTTATCCACCAAAGAACATTCTGGATCTCCTTTTTATTCGTTACCCTTTTACCATTTATGCCGGATGGCTTTTGGTAGCAACTTTTCTTAACTTCTGGATTGCTATTAGTGCCCTTAATACTATATTCTTATCCACAGTTGCAGTCGTAATTCTTGGTTTTATTGGTTCATATTTCACTGACGATGATCGACATGATGTTGTATTTGCTATCACCATTTTGTGGGCTCTTATTGGAATTGCAGTGAAAAACCATAATCACATGCCAATACTCGTTGCCGCCACAGTGTTATCTGGTCTTAATTTAGGAGGAATTTTAAGAGTTTGGGAACGTTATTTTATTGCGAAAATTCGTTTACGAAGACAAAGGTTGGCTAGTGAAAGATCCCCTTTGCTTGGTTAAAAATAAGGCAAATGTTACAAAATTCAATGTTAATGCAACTATTGTAGATTTTATCATGTAGATTTTTTTTTCAATTTTCGAATTGTTCGTTTTTAAATGTTTCAATTCTGTATACATTTCTGTTACATATTCAATCTATTTTTTTTTAAATGTTTATAAAAAATCAATCAATAAATATGCAATTAATATATTATCTAAATTCAGGCTCAAAGGTTAAATTTGGCTAAATATTGGCCTGGCACAACTCTAATTGGTTGGTGCAAAGACTAATATTAGCAAAGAATTTAAGCTTTAATATTTTAACGAAAATTGATTGCTAGAAAGATAATCTAATCAACATAATAAACCTGAAATAAGAGCTTTCAAATGGTATTATAAACATCTTGGTATAAAATCACTTCCCGTTGTTCAGAAGTTATTTTGTCTTTGGGCTAGAAAGGTGATTATAAAGAAATATCTTGGTAGAAAATTTCTCAGCTTGATTTTCCTGATATCACAATTTAGTTTTGCAATGAGTCAGCTTTTTTGCACCAATTTTGCGAGTCTGACTTTCGGTTTTAACCTCAGAATTCTCGGCAAGGAGCCTAGAATTCTCTTGTTGTCTCAACAAATCTATTTCGGACACTGTCTACCTCTACCTTTATAAAATCAATATCATCAACGGTATTTATCGTGATACATTTCAAATCAATTAAAAACGATTCTATGGTATCCACTATATTATTAAATAAATTTTATAAATGTCACTGTAAAATAACGAAAATAACAAATAATTACGAAAAATGTTAGGACCTCCTTATTCTAAAAACTGGTTAATTGATTTCTTTCCTTTAAGATGTAGTCTGATGAAATGTCGATTTGCTTTTGATAGAGTGCTTGATCTCGCTCGGAATTTAATATTACAATAAACCATCATACATTTGTATTATTCATTATTGATTTTTACCTTTTGCAATCTATCTATCATAAGTTACCCATTTGCATCGTAGTCATTTTATGATGCGCGTAAAATAATATTGTTGTTATTTATCATGTACAATCGGGCTGGAATTAAAAAAGTTGTCACACTGCAATGCCATAGAAAAACGTTTCAATTTTTAAATAATTTTGAAAATTATTCCACCGATCTGTTACAATATCGGTATAGTTAATTACAAATATTATTATAGTATAAAATAGTTATCTACTAAAAAAGTTTTAATTGATTCATTATTCATAATTATACAAATAAGAAACAAATAATAAAATTTATTTTTTTAATTTAAAAAAAATATTCAGTTTAATTAGTTTAATTCTTTTCACAGAATGTTATTTCCACATAACTTATTTCATTTTTATTTTCTTGCTTTTAAATGAAAAGTCACGATTAGAAATTTTTTAATTTCCAAAATATTAAGATTTGTGATACATGCTTGCTTTTCGCTTTATGGATCTTATAAAAAGAAAAAGCCTTTGACTCAATTTCTGAAACTTTAATTGTCTATATAATTGCGTCAATTTTTCATATGACTTGGATATTAGTAAATAAAGTTTATGCAAAACCCCGTAGTATTTCAATAAACAAAAAAATAACCCTCACTTCATAAACAAATGATTAGAAGGTGTTAATATGACAAGAAAATTAATTTTATCGTATTGTAATATTGTTCATACAATCTCTATCTAATAATTCAAACAGTTTCCAAACTACAATTAAAACTTGCCGAGTCAAAAGAGAACACACCATAAAGTGGTTAAATGAAGTCAGATGTTCAAATAAGTGATGAGATTCTATGTAATATTTTTCTTTAATTTTTATGCAAAAGTTTTATAAATGTTTAAGAGAAAAAAGATAAATCTAAAAATCTATACATATAAATAACTATTATAAACTTCTTACATAAAGAAGATACGTAAAAACAATTTTAAATAAAATAAATTTACAAGGTAAATTTATAAATTGTATTATACAAAAGTGTCCTGCACCATTTTAATAAATTTTACTTAAATACACTAAATTAATTAATTAATATTAATTAATGATATTATTTTCTATTAAGGTATTTATTTTTTTTATTTTTTTTATTTTGTTTACGAGTAACTACCTTCCACTCTTCTTCACCATCACTATTATTACTACTCGAATCACTACCACTATTATTACTACCTGAATCAGAACCATCTTTTCCAAGACAAGCAAATGCATGATCATTTCGATGAAGCTGTTTATTACTTTTATTCCCATTAATATTATTTCTAATCAAATCCAATTTATGATCCTCTTGAGTGTTTTGAAGCTTAACTTCATTATATTCTGATGATTCTTGTTCACTTGATTCACTAACTTTTGTTGATGTATCATCATCTTCATTATATTCATCTTCACTTTTGTCCTCTTCCACTACTACAAAACTCTTTTGACGTTCACGTTCATTCCAACGTAAACACCGTGAGATTGAAGAAAACCAATCTTTTGATTGTGAATCATGACAAACTGTTGGAAAAGGAAATTTAGATGGTGTAACTTTTATATGATCCCCCTCTACAAAAGAAAATCATTAGTATTATACAATTACAAAACCAAAGATTAATGATTTATAGACAAAATACTTACGTTTTAATT